CGCAGATGATGAGACATCTTCAAGAAATCCTTTCCATTCCATTGTTGAATTTACATGCTTTCACAGAAAGCTCAATCGTTCTTTACTGGATCTATGGCACTAGCCAGCGGTTTAAAACTTTTGAAGCTAATCGAATTGCAAAGATACAAGATTTGATACCACCTCAAAGATGGAAACACGTTGATGGTTTACAAAATCCAGCGGACGTCGGATCTCGTGGTATATTAGCAAAGGAAATTAAAGAACACCCCCTGTGGTGGACTGGTCCAGATTGGCTTAAGCAAAATCAGTCGAATTGGCCGTCGAAATTTACTACACCTCCTTCACTGGAAGCTCTCCAATCGCTGGGTGTCACGAAAGACTGCTTACAACTAAAAGAGAAAGAAGAAGTTACTCTGCAAACAACTACAGATACAGCCTCAACGGAGCCTGTGATTGACATTACTCGATATTTCAGTTACATTCAACTCGTGAGAGTTACTGCTTGGGTATTTCGCGTGGTCACCCGTTCAAACCTATTCAGTTCTACACCACTAGCAGTGTCTGAACTATCCAAAGCTAAAACTTGGTTGATTAAACAAGCCCAAGCTCAAATGTTCCCAAACACTCTCAAATTGTTAAGAAAGAAAAACCCATTACCATTGTCGGATCCCTTACAATCATTGAATGCCTTCTTGGATAAAGACGGATTATTAAGAGTTGGTGGTCGTCTTTCGCAGTCAATGAAAGATTACGAATCTCAGCATCCACTGGTCCTTCATGGAAAGCATTATCTGTCAACCTTGATCATACAGAGCGAACATAAACGATTGTGTCATGCTGGTCCAAAGCTTACTTTAGGATCCCTTCAGGATACCTATCACATCATTAGTGCACGTAGAGTCGTTCGTAAGTTGATACGTGAGTGTGTAGTGTGCAAGCGAGCATCTCCAAAGATAACAACTCAACTGATGGGTCAACTTCCGTCAGCACGTACTTTGCCCACCTTTGCCAATGAGAGAGTCTCAGTAGACTATGCTGGACCGTTTACACTAAAGATAGGATCAGTTCGAAAGCCAACGTATCGTAAAGCCTATGTAGCAGTTTTTGTTTGCCTCGTAACCAAGTCGTGTCACATCGAATTAGTATCAGACCTCTCGGCGGAAGCATTCCTTGCCACACTTCGTCGCTTTGTTTCTCGGAGAGGGAAACCCATGCAGATTTGGAGCGATAACGCGACTTGTTTTCGACGTACGGATAAAGATTTAAGGGAACTTTATCGACTACTTCAAAGACCAGATATCAAAGAATCTGTTATGAACTTTTGTTTGTCCCAAGGCATCCAGTGGAAGTTTAGCCCACCCACCGGTCCTCATCATGGTTCTGTTTGGGAGAACGGGGTAAAGTCCTGTAAACGGCACTTGAAGCGAATAGTTGGGGAAACCAAACTAAACTTCGAAGAAATGACAACCACCCTCTCGAAGCCAAATCGAAGCCTGTCTCAACTCTCGTCCACTGATACCTTCGCTTGATACAAATGATGATGGAATATCTCCACTTACCCCTGGACATTTTCTAATTGGACGTCCTTTAGAAGCTCTACCTAGCCGCATTTATAAAGAGCCCATTCTTGGTTTAAAAAGATGGAAACTCTGTCAAGCATTGACGCAACATTTCTGGAAACGATGGTCTGCTGAATATCTCAATGGCTTACGATTTAACAAGTGGAAAGTTCCAAAACGAAATCTTCAACTAGATGATATTGTCCTCGTTAAAGACAATCGTACACCAACTTGTGAATGGCCTCTTGCTCGAGTCACAAAGGTTCATCCTGGTCCAGATAAACTTGTTCGAGTCGTTACTGTACAAACGAAGACTGGCACCTTCATCCGACCGATTGTGAAGTTATGTTTACTTCTACCAGCGAAGGAAGTGCCGAAGAAAGATGATGAAATGAAGTGAAGCACTGAACAATGAACAAACATAAGTTTGAACAGATAAGTTTAGATATATGTTTATATTATTTCATGACATTCTTGTGTTGATCGAATCAAGGCCGGCGGAATGGACACGCGTTATATGTATTACATAAAGTATTTAGCATAATTTAGCAAGCGCATGCGCAGTAAGCATGCTCGTAAGAACACATGTTTTGTAGGAAAAGAAAATATAAGTTTTACCTCGGTTACTCGCTGTTTTTCTTGGGTAAAACAAAGGACTGCTAGCTAGGCAGTTAAAAGCAAGTAAACAATCGCATCTACTTACGGCCAGAACGGCGCTCTGTGACGTTGGCTCGGGGAATAAAAAAAAGTTAAGCTACCGTGATGACCAACGTACGTTTATAATTAATTAGACTTAGAAAAAACGAACGGAGTGTGTTGTTGAACCAGCGGTGCAGATAAATCGTTGGACGAAGACAACGAATTCTGCAAGAATTGACATTTCACAGCTTACAAAAATACTCTTCACCACCCTTTGACACTATTGACGTGACAACTGACAATAGTATTGGCATGACACTATTGACGGATAATTTGCCTCGTCTAGAAACCTTCTTTAAAAAACCTTTATACTAACCTTTAAGGTTTGCAACCAGATATTCTTTCGGTATTTTTCTGTTTCATTTGTTTCGTAAGTCTTGTTGTATTGGTTTTTGAACTTTTCCCATTCGTCCCCCATGCCTGAATCGCTGTCTGCGCCACAGTTGGCAAATAGACTTGCGCAAATCAAAGCAGCAATGGCCAATGTGTTCATTTTCAATGGTAGAGAGCCTGAGAGACTATCCGATTAACAGGTCGGGTTTCCAGAATTTATCTAAGAAATGGAAGACGTGTTAAAACGTGCAAAACCCCTAAAAGCGACATGCCTGAACTCATACACAAGAGTGACTGGATGACATTTTGAATTTATGCGATCGGCTCTACAGCTTCAGATTGATTTTCAGATTCAGATTTGAATCTGAAACGGGATCAAGTGTCGTGTAGAAAATGTGGAATTGCTCAGTCTGTTTTCACGGAATAAACTAGATGTCTAGATCATTACAATTGTTCATCTCCAGGCTATTACGCATTTGACACATTTAGCGCACAATGTAAAACTATTGTGACGTCAAAACTATGTAAAAACAATGACGTCATTAAATCATTACAACTATGTGAGATAATGAACGTCTTCGTTAATAGAAGAAGAGATTATTTCGCTGGCCTCAGAGTGACAAAACGTAACAAAGCAACGGTTTTACTAACACTAACCCTACTTCAAACACAAATTCTAACCCTAATCCTTACCCTAACATAACCTAACCCTACTACAAATTTGTTTTTAAACCAATCTTGAAGAAAAAAGTTTTGACGAAATGTCATTCTGAGGTCAGCGAAATAGTTGATGCCGTTAATAGACTGACATTTAAATTAAGTATTAATTTGGGGGGGATGTAGTCTTCTTTGTTTGTCCCCTTTTACTACTCTGTTTCCGTGACGAAATGCACCGAAATTTCATCACGAGCTTTTTGCCCTGAACCCTGGAGCTCCCAGGTTTTATTAAGGAATTTCTGGATGCACTTTTAGGTCTCCACGTAATCACGTATTTACGGGCGGTGACACGGTCAGTGCATTCGCTGGTCATGGCAAGATCGAATCGTTGAAGCTAATGGCAACATCACAAGAATATGTAAAACTGAACTTTTGGAAGTGATTATCAATAAGCTGCAAGAATTTGTTTGCAAAATGTATGGGTATGTTGATCTACTGCGTTATATACTTTATTGTTTAAAGAAAGGGAAGTGTGAAATTGAACGTCTTCCACCATGCATGGTTGCAGACTACTAACAACTGTCTGCTAACAACTAGCAGATTCGGGTGTGGCGTTTGGGTCAAGAACCCATCGCCAGCTGACCATGGTTGGATGTTTGACAAAAATGGAGTAATTTGAATTAACTGTATGGATTGTCAACCTGCTCCAAATGAGGTATGCATTTACTATTTCAATAGAACAACATTTTAAAATTTTTCTCGCATTATTTTCTATTTATATTTCAATTCTAATGAAAGAATGGATCATTATATTTTCTATTTGGCTGTTTTGGAAATATTGGCTTGCAGTTGTAGAACAAAATGTGTTACAGGCTCTTGTTCTTGTGTCGACGTCGTGCTGAAATGCACAGATGCCTGTTCCATTGGTGATTTTGGAAACTGAACTATTGACGAAGGCAGTGGCGGCGGAACAGGGGGGGGGGGGCTAGGGGGGCTAAAGCCCCCCCCCAGAAGTAAAAGTGGGGGGGCTTAGCCCCCCCCAGAAAATTTTGTTTTCTCTGGAAAAATTTTGAGAATTAAGGAAAAATGTAGGTTATTTTTGGAAAATGTAGGTATAAGGGGAAAAATTAGGAATATTTTGTTTAAAAATGGAGTATGTGCGGAAAAATTTTTTGGTATAGGTCCGGAAAATTTTGTTTCTACCCTTTTCTTTTCTTGTATATGTCCGGAAAAATTTTTTACCCCTAAAATGGTACACTCACTGACCGAAAATTTTTTGGCGACGGGGGGGGGGCGAGGTCACAGAAAAAAAAAATAGCCCCCCCAAATTGAAATCCGTTCCGCCGCCACTGGACGAAGGTGAGGATGATATCATTTCAACGAAGAGAGTATTTTTGAGGGAGATTCATATGAGAATAGTGGATAAACATACTTCATATCACATGTTTATGAACATTACTTCTAAATTTTGCTTTGTCATTGTTTTAACTTAATACGTTACCAGTATATAGTGTCAGATGACTATTGAATTGCGTTGAAATTGTAAAATTGTACTCCAAAATAGTCGCGGGCAACGTGGGCATAACGTGTTAATAACATTTTAATTTGCCTCTGTGAGAGTTTAAATTGCAGTTTGATTGATGGGCTTCCCTAAAACGCTGATCAACACTATATGTTAATTTAACCAGATAGGCTAGCAAGTGCCTTAAAGTGCATATGAGATAAAATTTCTTATTTTCTTAAATGAAAGAACTCTTTAAACTGTAGTGTAACTTATTTTTTAGTTTCATGTTTTTATACTTTGTTCCCGAGATATTTAAATTTGTTTGATATGTAAATGAATGTGAATATGTCCGCTAATTTATGACGTCACTTTGGTTGCAAGCTCAACTTATAATGGTTATAAATCTATTAACTCTAAAAACTATAGATATCAGTTCACTTTTTCCCCAGTGTTTCATCACATTTACCAGTGAGTGAAGTTTGAAATTATCATCTTAGATGATTAAAGTGATATTCAACCATTACGTTACACTACAGCTTAAAGAGTTCTTTCATTTAAGAAAATAAGAAATTTCATGTCATATGCACTTTAAAGTGCAACCAACATGCATGTGCAATGCACATGTTCTGCTCTCGCTAAGCACGTTTCCAATTAAGTAACTTTATTGGGGCGAGCCTGAACCAGCCCCACAGTTTGGTGGCTAATCGAGCTCAAGCGCAATGCATGCAATCTCGAACCCTAAGCTTGCAATCCTCTGTGGATGCTTGCTTAGGCTCTGGGAAACACCAGCGAATTTTGCACTAAAATCAGTACAATACAATACACTTTTATTGTACCCATTTGTTAAAATACTACAAGATTTGTAAAGCAAATTAATTATAATAAAAGTAGGGTACTGACTTCCCGAAATAACTTAAGATGGCTAAAAATGCCAGGAAGCCAGTTCGCAAAAATATTTAAATAACTTATATAATCGGAAATTAGGTACTGTACAACATGACACTAGCAGTAACAGAGAACAGACTTACACACAGAACTACACTAATAATAAATTAATACAACTTACAATTGCAACATATTATAATAATACAATACCAGTAGATTTTAATTTAGAATTAGGATGAAGGAAAAGATTTAGAGCAGCTTTATTAACTTATATAGCAAGAAGAAGAAACATTTTACTGAGAATAAAATGTTTAATAATTTTGCAATATATCACTTTTTAGTTTATTTTTGAATTTTGAAAAAGAAAACAGTTTTATATTTTCGTCCATGGAGTTCCATATTTTGGTTCCTTGAAATCTTATATTGAATAAACCATAATTAGTTCTTGCTTTAGGAAGGTAATAGCTCTGTTTTGATGCCAATCTTGTATTATAATTATGTATTCTATCTATTGGAGTGAAAAAGTTATCAAAAGCTGAGGGCAATAGTCGATGGTAGAATTTATACATAAATGATGCAATATGGAAAGTTACCAAATCAAAGATCTTGATTATATTTAATAACTTAAACAATGGACTTGAATGTTCGTTATATTCAGAAAAAGTTATAATACGCAAGGCCTTCTTTTGTAAAACAAAAAGTGGTTGTATTGTACTGGGGTAAGTATTACCCCAGACGATTATGCCATATATTAAAAATGGATAAATCAAAGTATAATAAAGATTAATCAGAATGTTAGTGTGGACATAGAACCGTAATTTAGATAGAATGCCCACACTTAGCAATACATTCAATTTGGGATTTCCAGCGAAGGTTAGAGTCAATCAAAATGCCTAGATATTTAACCGAATAGCATTGTTTAATAATCTTGTCATTTATACTTAATTGAAAATTTATACCTATTTTTCGTTGTGATGGATGAAAAAGGACAAAATTTGATTTTTCTACATTGAGCGATAACTTATTGGCACATAGCCAGACATTAATACTATTGAATTCGGTATTAACATTTGATTGCAAAATATTAATATTTTTATGTCGGTGGAACAAATTTGCATCGTCGGCAAATAAATGAAAATCGAAGAAGTTAGAACTGTGATGAAAATCATTGACATACAAAACAAATAAAATTGGACCAAGAACGGATTCCTGTGGTACACCACAAGAAATAATATTAGTCGAAGACTTAGTATTATTTACTGTAACTGTTTGATAGCGGCCTCTAAGATAGGATTCAAACCAGTGTTTAGCTACACCCCGTATTCCATAATGTTCTAATTTTGTTATTAAGATTTCATGATTGACTGTGTAAAAAGCTTTACTAAGATCTAAAAATATTCCACAAGAAAAATCTCGTTCATCAATTGCTTTTTGTATTGTATCAATTATACTAAGAACGGAAAAGTTAGTAGAGTGTTTAGCACGAAATCCGAATTGATTGTCAAACAAAATTGCTTTTCGTTGGATAAAATGAGACAGCCTATTTGACATAAGTTTCTCTAAAAGCTTATTAAATACTGAAAAAAGAGAGATTGGACGATAATTACAAGTACTAGTTGGAGATCCATTCTTATAAATCGGTAGAACATTTGCTATTTTAAAATTGCTTGGTATGCAATGCCCATTGAGAAAGAAACATTAAAGAAAGTTTCCAATGGTTTCGATATCACTGTTCCAAGGATTTTCAGAATTGACACTGGTATACTAAATGGATCGGACCAGTAGCTTTTCCGAGTTTTAATTTAGAAATTTCATTTACAATCTCCTCCGACGTAACTGGAGAAATATATAAACTGTCACATGGAGAATTAGTGAGATAATCAAAAGGCGACTTTTCATCATTTGGTATTAAAAAGGCCAAACTATTTCCGATGTTAGCAAAAAAATTATTGAAAACATTTGCAATTGCCATTGGATCTGTTATCTCTCTATTTCCCTCCAGAAATTTGATAATTCTCTGGCTCACTTTAGGTTTGGAGTGTATTATTTGTTTGATGCCCTTCCATACTCTATTTGTATCTTAGATGTTTTGTATAAAATGGTCATTGTAGTATTTTCTTTTGCTAATTTTCAAAATATGGTTTAATTTGTTTCTATATAATTTAAATTTTGAATG